ACGGAAAAGATATCGCTATAGCATAGTTTGTTTTTTACTAATGTGATGAATTTAGTGACGAACTTGTTGTCATTACAAGGATTTCTATCCATCGTTAATGTGACAAAAAAGCACCGATGAAAATTGGTTGTCGTTGAATTTTTCATTCTTAATCTGTCTTCATTTGGTCGAAATCTACTAATCATTTTCGTAATTATCTATTGATAGTTGATGTAATTTAATCATTTTTTGTATATCGCTAATTGGTTATTGTTTCGTTGCTAATGTAGAAAATGTATTTTTTTAATTCATTATTAGTGGTTTAATATTTAATTGTAGAAGCAAACAATTAAAAATAAAATTATAACATGCAATAGTATTATGTAAAATAAAAATAATATAAAATCAAATGAAATATATACAAATACGTTCTAGTGTATGAAATAAATAAAAATTAAGGGAAAAAAAAGTTTGATCGAGGAGATCATCATCATCCGACGGCTACTAGGTAGGGAGAGGGTTAGGAAAAGGGAAGGGTAGGTCAATGTGGGTTTATATCTTTCGCAACAATTGCTACATCATTTGCATCCGCTACTTATGCCATTGTGCCACCTCCTATTGCTCTTGTCGGAGTTCCTCCTTCATCTCCTACATCTACTAAGCCAAGTCATGTTCCATTTCTACTCGAAGCTATTGTCGATATTACTCATCATCCTACTACATACCACCATAGAATTGCAAAGTGATAGATGATGAGCTATAGCTAGAATGAGAGTAATACTATGACGCTTGTAATATGAGATTATACACTCTACTCTTCTTCTCCTCTCCTACAGCCTCAACATATATCTAGGCTATATCGATGTCTAACATTGATGAAGTATCCTTCGGTGCCTTGGTAGCGGTTGCCTCACACAATGACTCCATGTGCTCTAACATAATTAAAACAATTATAATAATAAATAATAAATTTAATTTTTAGGTTAAATTGGCATATGTATAATTAAAAAAAAAAAAAAACACTTACCTTAACCATTTCAAATTGCATATCAATGAATGACCCATTCGTATGTCGATGTTTTCAAACATAACTCAAAAGGATTTAGGTTATGACCCGACTTCGAATGAAAAAAATGACATAAATAATACGAGATACAATACGTGTAAATAATAATTTATAACATAATGGATAATAGATTTACTATTTGTGCAACGTGCTTAACCAATAAGATGAAACCCCTTGTATATCTAGATAGGCGAGCACTAGTGTTGCATGTCTCACTCATGTTGTTACGGGCTATTTGTTCAAAATGGGCTTTAAACTCGGTGTGGCTTATTGTTGTTGCCACCCATCCCACACCTACTCTAGGAAAAATGGTGGTTTGGTCCCCTTCCTCTTCCAAGTGGTTAGTATATCGGCTTATTACTTGCATGCCCGATGCTCCTATGCTACCTTAACCATCTCGTTGATGGCTTCTTCTCGTAGAAAATACTTTTGCGATAAGGAAAAAAATAATATTTCTTGTTAGATTTACTGAATTAATTTAAATATAATATAAATAAAAAATTAATATGTTATCTTAAATTCATTCTAACGAAGTCCTTGGTCTTCGAGAGACCGACTTGCACGTAGCACTAGAGAGGTCCAATCGCTTCTCAAAAATGGCAATGATCCATTGATAGCATTTACTTGATGTATTCAAATTGTCGAACACGATAAATAAAAAACAACTAATGGATTCATTAACAAAATAAAATAACAAATATAAAAGAGTAATTATGAACTATAAGGCATAGGCAATACTACTTATATTGGTGTGCATAATATGTACTTTTTATAAATGACATCAATTTTTTGATCAGCATCATTCCTAGAACTACACTTGAAGTAGAAGATACCATTGAGGTAACCTCTTTTGCCTAGCTCTATGTAGGTCGACGGTTATCTCGTAGGGGAGCCAATAAGGGCGGGGACACCGATGTTGGTTGTGTAGAAGTGTTGGACACGTGTCTTGGATTAGAAACATGAATACAACTATTACCTTTACCACTTGTCTCTGCCATGACAATGACCTTTTGATATGGTCGAATTAGACCCTAGGATAGGACAAATTGAACCATAACTCATCGTTTATACGGAATCACATGATATAGTTTAATAAATACAACAAAACAAAAATTACAAAATTATCAAAATGATACATATAAGGAAAATATAATACTTCATAAACAACATATGTCCATGCACATAAATTCAAAATGAACATGAAACATAAATATATAGTTCAAACAACTATATCCAAATAGTTCATGAGAATATATTTGAAAAAAATTACTCATCATCATTATTATTATCTTGACTATCATCATCACTATTAGAATTACTATCATCATTGTTGTGATATTTTATACGCATTAGGATAGATTTTTAAAATTTTTCTCCATCAAATATGTCGGAAAGCATTTTTACAAGCCATGGCTTGTCTCGCACTAGTCTTTTAAAAGTCCAGTGCCGAGGGTTGGATGAGTGGGTAAAAGGATTGATTTTGAAAGACTTTTCCAAGTACCATTCTTAATGAACTCATACGCAAAGTTACCTTAATTTTTTATTTTGGATTGAAATACATCCATAACTACATTTTGATGCCATAGGTCATCAAGCTACATCGTAAGACCTGGAAGGGAGAGTCTCCCACAAACTATTATCTTCTCTCCCTCGGTCATTATTTGACCATTGTGAACCACCTTTTAAATCTTCTTATTGACTCTTCTATGATGCTTTATAATAGTGTGGCCTAGGTTCATAGTATACTCAACAAGCTTTCTCTTATATTTATTAAGATTTTTTCTGTCTTTGTATTCTTGCAACATGTGTAAGTGACATATTTATATGGATTTGTCCGTTTCATCTCATTTTTTCCTTCTACATATCCTAGCTAATACATAATTACTTGATTATCATTTTTTCTAAAAATCTAATAAAACTTCGACGAGTCTCTCCTATAAATTAGATATTTCTCAATTATCGAAGACTCTATCGGTACAAAAGAAAGCAACACATCCAAAATACATAACATATACTTCAAACATGCATTATAGCCAAAATTATCAAAAATTATGAAATTCAATCAATTTACGCACACTAAGATCAACATTTGTCTCGAATAATCTATTTAACTTAAAACCCAATCTATGTCCCTCTAAATCCATAGCAAAGCAAAGCATTGATATCACCTTATTTTTGTTCAATTCTTAGGAGGGTCTCCAACCTATCGGATTCGATATACTACGACGTATCTCGACACACTTCAACAATTAACTAAAAATTATTCTATGACATAAATTACAAATTTGAGTTTCAATAAATTGCCAAGCGAGTTAGAGTGGCTGAAAAATTCCTACGGCTAGAACATGGATGTGGTGGTTGTCGATAATGTTGGAGTGGTTAGAGTGACTTGTCGGCAATGCTATAGATCGTTATTACGAGACCGACTTGCTTGGAACAAATTTGGATATGAATAAGAGCATTATCTAATCTTTTTCTATAATCTAAAATGAATCAATTAAATTTACGTATTTTAAATGTGTTTTTCATCTTTTTTTTTTTTATGAATTTCTAGCCAAACCAAAAAATATCATGTGACTTGCACTTTTTTTTTCAAAATTTTCCTTAAAAAATGTGACTTGCACATATTCAACTTAGGAGCATTTTCTAAAAATAAAAAAATACTCATGTGTAATTCGCATGACTTTTTTTATAAATTAAGCTAGAAAAAAATCATCAAAATGATATATATTCAAAATTCATTTAAAATACAAAAATAATTAATTTAATTTAAGATATAAAGGCATATTAATCATTGATTTTATTATAGATCGATTAGGCCATTACCCCTCGCCCTCCCCCCCCCCTCTCTTAATAAATAAATAAATAACACACCTAAATAATAATTCCACCCTCCCCCCCCCCCCTTTTTTTTTCCTTTTCTACGACTAATCTTCATCATACTTAAGTGTATAACTAATTAAAAAATCAAAATGATTTCTAGTTACCAAATTTTCCCTACTCTAACCGATCAAACAATATTACCTTCTAATTAAGAACACATTAAAATCAAAATGATTCTTATAAATTTCAATAATTCATGAATTAAAATAAAAATAGGTAAAAGAAATCGAATGGATAAAAGAAAAGGAGAGAAACTTACTTTTTTTTAGGAGAGAAAGGAGTTGTCAAGAATAGGTGAGAAGATGGAGTGCCTAATCACTACTTTTTGTTAGCGGAGAAGGAGGAAAATGGTGGCGACGGTGCTTAAGGGTGGAGGAGGAGAGGAAAAAAGGAGGAAGAAAAAGTACCTACAAACTTTAAGGATTTTTCTTATCGACAGTCACGATTCCATCACATTAGTAAGTTTACATGTTGCTATTCAATTTTTGAAATAGTGTTATTTTTTCAAGCAATCAATGAAGAACACAATTTTATTGCCAATAGTAAGTGTCCGTCACTATTGTTATCACCCAAAATTTTACCCTTATTACTTTTACTTCAATTTTTATTTTTGTTACAAAATACAAAAAAATAATAATTAAAATTGAAGAAAAGAAAAAATGGAAAAATGGAAACAAAAAAAATTAATTGAAATAATTAGTTTAAGTTAATTAAAAAGAAAAAAAAGAAAAAGAAAGAGGGAGGGGTTAATTGAAGAAATGAAAAGTTTGGAGGTAACAAAAAGGGCAATTGAGGGTCAAATAAAAAAAATCAAAACTTATATCCTTTAATTAATATAAAAAGGGAGATATAATTGGGATAAACAAAAAAGAAAAGTCTCAATTAATTCAACTTTAAGGGGTCTATTGAAATAAAAACAAAAATGAACCTTAAATTGATTGGTGGTAGAGCATAGAGGACCAAAATAAACTTTGTCTAAAAACCCTATATATAAAAAGCCCTCCATGCATTTTTTATACGAGTCACTCGTTCATTCATCACCCAAGAAAAAAGATTTCAGTCATCATACCAATCACTGCACCAAGCTCTCATCCATTTCAGCCCTCTTCCATGCCCATACACACACCGACCAACCATCTCCCATGCCATAACCACACCTCTCCAGCCCTCTCACCAGTCTTCTTCCCTTATGCCCATAACCCTCTCTCTCGCCCACACCGATTGTCAACCTACACACCAACCAACCCTCTCCCACATGCCACTCTAGTCTTCTCCCATGTCCACACACTCGCCGATCGGCCCTCTCCCACACACCACTTGCTCTCTCTCTCACACACCACTGCTCTCTCTCCCACGCCACGACCTCGCCATTCCATCATGCATGCTAGCTCTCCATACACACCACCAGCCTTCCTCACCCACTTTAGCCCCCTACACGATAGCCTTTCTCGTACCATACGAGCTGCAACGTCAAGCTCTCTCCCCTACGACCTCTTCCTCATGCTCAAAACACCAAAAAAAAAAAAAAGAGACTCGAAACACACCATAAAATGCCCCAAAAATTGACCTAAAACAACCACCAACAACCCTAAAAACTAACCTAAAAAAACTACTAACAATCCCAAAAAATGACCTAAAAAAGCCATCAATAGCCCAAAAAATAGACCCAAAACACACCACAAACCCCTCCCCCCAAAAAAAGACCTAAAATACACCATAAAACCCTTCAAAAATAGACCATGGGCCCACAAAAACCCCCAACAACGGACCATAGGCCCATAAGCCAATCGCCCACTCCTTCACAACAACCCTCTTTAGTCCCATGATAGCCCATCGGTCCTCTCAAAAAAAAAAAAAAAAAGGAAACAAAAGAACAAATAAAAATTTTTTCCTATTGGTTGGTTTGTATTTGTTTTGGCGAGGAAAATACATCAACAAAAGTTATTTTGAGTTTTCGGGAAACTCTACAAAGCTTCAAGAACTCGTAAATTTTGCAACAACTTTCGAAGTATTAACATGAGCAACGGAGTAGCTTTTGACCATTTTAATGGGACCCATAACACATTTTACGAATAGACGGTCGCTTTCCTTTCTCGATTAACTATATAATTAATTTTCATTGGGAGTGAAGAGAGTAAATTCGGACATTGAAATTTCAAAACTTTTGGGTAAAATTCCAAAATCGTTGCATTTTTTTCTTAAAAAAGTAATGGTTAAAAATGATTGGATTGTTTGATTTTGTGAATAAAACTATCGTATTTTGTTTAAATATCCATAGTTTAAATACGGAAAAAACAAACATTGTTGTAGCGAATATTAAAGGATAATTGCGTGAATGAAATTATTGCATGACACTTGAACATTCACATATTAAATGTTTTTTTGAACAAATATTCTTGTAATTAGCCATTTTGGATAAATTATGTTGTTTGACTATTTTACACATGTTTGCCTAAATACAAAGTTTGTGCTTACTCTTGTGGTTGATTGATCAATTGTGCTCGATTACAATGTTGAAATGAAGTTGCTTGGTAGCTTCTCACTTATGTGATGAAGCCGCTTGAGGGTTTTGAAATCGTTTTATCCGTTTTTTATACTTGTTCCTATCCGGAGTTTCCTGTTTCTTGTTTTTTTTGTTCTTGTTTTCTATTTTTTATTTTTTGTTTCTTATTTTATCAAACGAAGTCTGCTAGTGGCTTTCCACTTGTGTAAGCGAAGTTACCGATGACTCACTACTCATGTCAATAAAAGGCTATTCATTTTTAGAAACTCACATATTAGTTGATAATATGTCGTGTTCACTAATGATTAGTCGAAATTTCCAAATTTCTCCACCTTTCCCCTATTGGGTAGGGCGTATTGGCCTTTGATCGGTCTAAACTCCCAAACTACCGGATTCTATACTCAAACTACTTTGTTTCATATTTTTACAAAATAAACTCATTTAAATAGGTATAAAATCATAACGTAATAAAATCTAGATTTTTATATTCATAAGCAAACAATGTAGCCTACCTTAGGTAGGATGGGATAGCGGAGATATCATATCTTTTTCATACATAACTAACCCCTTACCTAGATATCTATGTAAACTAGTAAATTTAGGGTTTCATATTTCTCCTTGATTAGCAAAGTGGCGATTCCTTGTTCCACCCCCTACGATTCGTTGAGTCAACAACTCGTTTGAATTTTGAAATTGCTCTAATTTTCCCAAAAAGTTATGATGGACTACTGTTCGTGGCTACTTATAATTTTTCATCGTTGGTTTTTTTCTTTTTTGGTTAAATAATCTCTCCCAAAATTAGTGATAAACACAACTTTCTATCGCTACTATCTATCAAAAATTAATTGGTATTTCATTGCTGATTTAATTACCAAAAAATATCGCTAAATTCAACGATGGATGTATTTGCTAATGTATTGTTGTTTGGCAACTAATTTATGGCGCCTCTAGCTCACTTGCTGATTACCTAAAAGAAATGGCTAAGTGCATCATAGTTTAGAGATCGAAGTCTCAAATTTACTCCCATACACATATACAATGTACCGAATATTATTACAAAAGTCACAAAATAATGTAGGTATTATTACATGTAAAAGTGAATCATATAATTCACGGGTCACAATGAGCCTTTTTCGAGAGGAACCGACTGACTTCATTATCCGCATTATTATTGCCTCTACTCGTTATGGCATAAAATAAACACAGAGTGAGTCGAAGCTCGGTAAGTAGGGTGATGCATGTGATATATAAAGATGCTCTACCTCTCCCACTTTGACTCATCAAATTTTAATTACGGGTTACCTTAAGAATTTAGCGAGGTCTACTCTATTTTTAATCCAGGTGATAACCAAATCACCTTCGCTAACAATGAAACTATCCTTCGTTGTAGCCACTTATTAGCGGGAGTTCATCGTCTAATAGTGCGGGCACATAACTTAGAGTACATATATAGTTGGACTGCTAATACCCATTTAATCCAATAGGTTACCAAACCTATCCAATTCCATCCGATTCGGTTATCAAACCTCATTGTTTCGACTCAATGGTTTTTCTCAATTTAATCCTTCCCATATGCACATGATGCACGTGATGTTGTATTTATTACTTTTAACAAATTATGGGTACCAATCCCCTATTATCACATCATTTTAACGACCCAATCCGCATTCGAGATTTCATATGTTTCTCACGAGATCTTTTATGATATCCCTCAAGAAAATACTATATCCACCCATTGGTATGAATCAATTCATAACTTTACTTCGTACGTTTCGATCTTTCCCTTCGTACACGTAGTGAGTCTACTTCGGATTTCAATATACTACTTAGTCTACATGACCTTCCATCCTAATGATTTATTGTGACATACTAAAGATGAAACTTCTTTTTAATCCAAACTTTAGCCTTAGTAATCGAATTTTAGTCTATAATGGATCTAGGTCTTAATCCTGGTTTTTCTTGAATTCTCACTTTCTAATACTTTATTTTATCCCCCTTAGGATTCAATTAAACCTTCACTCATGAATGCAGGTGGTTGGAACTCAATTTCTAAAAGTCGGGTTTAAGTCGAGTGTTTCCTAGTAAAAACCAAAATTTTCATTTTTCTTAGGATCTAACCTTTCTACACTTTATTTTATACTTATTTAGGTATATTTAAACCATTGATTCATAATTTGGGTGAATGATATTCAAAACCCGAATTCTAGGGTTTTTGGCCGAATGGGTCAAATAGGGACAAAGGTTTGTCTTTTATTCCTAAGTCCTTTCTTTCCATCTTAATGTACTAAATTATACTTAAGTGGATTACCTTAGAATTCTAGATCTTTAGGTCCATAAACATAAATCCAACTTGGCCATTTTAGTATCAAGGTCCAATAAGCGTCTTTAAGATATCCAAGCCCATTTTGTTTTAAATCCAAGCCCATCTTGTTTTAATCCAAGCCCATCTTATTTTAATCCAAGTCCATTTGTTTTAATATAATTCCATTTTATTTTAATCCAAGCCCATTCACATATATCTTCCAAACCCATATGGTTATAACCAAACCAACCCATCACACATGCATAAACATCCATCATCATACCTATTTATTGCATACTTATACATTTCAACATAAGTTTACCATGAAATGCACATCAAGCAACCATACTAGATCCATCATCAAAACATCATAGATCCATCACTAAAAACATCAAAATATAACATCAACACAACTACCATAACCACATATTACATGGCTTAAAACAAAACTCATAAAATGAACATGGAAATTTGAATTTTAAGGCATAAATAAAGCTAAATGAAACCTACTTACAATGATATATGCTTGCTTAATATTTCCTAAACTTTTCCTTCCTTTCTTCCTTTTTTTTTCCTTCCTTTTTCTCTTTTCCTTTCTCTCTTTCTTTCCCTCACAATCACGTTTTCTCTCCACTCTTTGAAATCTACGGTTTTGGTCTCCAAAAATGCTAAGTTTCCATCTTTCTCACACTTTTTATATCACATTTTCTAAGCCATTTATTTCTTTCATTTATTAGTATGCCAAGTGTCCAAATTTTGTGATAAAAAGAAGTCAATTGATGGAGGCAAATAGAGAGGCAAGTTGGCGTGTTTAGCTTTCCAAAATTGAGTGAGATAGTACAAATGGAAGTATGGTGAAAAATTTTATATCACATTACTAACTAAAGATGGAAACTAAAAGGTAAGTAAACTAACTAAACCAACCAACTTTCTTATCTCATTTGGTTCCTAAAATTTGGTTAATCTTAGCCACCACCTCGGTTGTTTGTTGCACCAATTCCGGGCCTAATAGCTTTCTCTCCCATACTTCATCCAAGTGTATTGGGGATCTACATCATCGCCCATGCAAAGCCTTATAGGGAGCCATCCTAATGGATGATTGATAACTATTGTTATAGGTAAACTCCATAAGGCGTACGTACTTCTCCCATTTCCGGGACCAATCAAGAATGTATGCTCACGAGTATGTCTACGAGTATCCGAATGACCCGTTCGGATTGTCCATAAGTCTACGAATGGTAAGTCGTGCTAAAGTTTAGCCTTGTCCCCATGGCCTTATGCGGACTCTTTCAAAATGTTACGGTGAATCTAGGATCTCGATCCGACACAATTGAGATTGGGACCCTGTGTAACCTCACGATTTCATCGATATACAACCGAGCATACCGGCTCAAGCTATAAGTAGTCTTTACTCGGAAATAAGTGCACTCGATTTGGTCAAACTATCCACGATCACCCAAATGGCATCCGAGCCTTTTTTCGATCTTAGGAATCCTATGACGAAGTCCATAGTGATGTGCTCCCATTTTCATTATGGAATCGCTAATGGTTTTAACATTGTCGCGAGTTGTTGATGCTCCACCTTCACTTGTTGACAAGTCCGATACTTCGCCACATAGTTCGTAACGTCTTTCTTCATTCTCGACCACCAA